AAACCACTTGGAAGTGGTTCGGTTGTTGCTAGAGGCTGGAGCTGACATCAATGCTGCAAGGGATGGGATCACTGCCTTGATGGCTGCAGCTGAGAATGACCACTTGGAAGTGGTGGAATTGTTTCACCGAGAGCGTGCGAGAATGGCATATGCTTAACCACCATGTCTCACCACTTTTCACATACATGTGACATCATGTCAATGTGACAAAAGGACACCAGAAATCTACTTGAATCTTGCAGTCCCAGAACATCAGGTGGGCAAGCTCGTGTCGCGTAGTGGCCAACGCGTCGTGCCCGCCAACAAGGCCCAACGTGCCTCTTGCTACTAGTAGCGATGGCCTCCATCTAATAGCATCCTTGCTACGTTCGTAGCTTCTTGTTCCTAGCGATGCCAGGAGCTACGAACGTGATGCCCTTGTTACTGCGATGCTAGCTACTACGTGCCGTGCCCGCCGTGCCCAGGCCCAACGACACCAGCTGCTCTTTGACCACCAAGTTTGGCCGCGGGCGTACCGAGGGAAGCAGGCGACGCAGGGCAGGGAAGAGGATCAGATCCGGTCCATTGAGAGGGTCACTCTAAGAAAGGTCTGGAAGTCAGGGTCCTGGCAAAGTGATCATATCATCCTAGAACCCCAGGCATGACCCCTGTTTTGATAGGAAAAGGCCCTATTTTGGGTGGTTGGTGGTCCAAAATAGAGGTCATTCAGGTTCTGGGTCATTATATTACACTGTATCTCTATATGTTTATTTGGCCATGATCAACGATGTCTACCTTTAGGCTTCGGAAGAAGCGAGTGATTCCATCCATCTACAGTGGTTTCAGAGGTTCGATGGCACTGGCACCCCAAGATGTCTTTGATATAGGGGTCCATCTAAACCACTTGACTTGGGGATTGTGCCATCGAGCCTCTGAAACCACCTGTCTTCTTGGATCCTTTCGATGCAGTGTGAAAAACATGTCAGAAGAATGAATGATACTTCAGGATCGGAGTCAGAGGTGACAGGTGAGTCAAAAGAGATGGGGAGAAAGTGGAAATGGTTTAAACACATGTAAAAACTGTTGGGTGGCATGGACTCACTGTCCTCGTAGTCCTCGTTGGATGATTTTCTGGTTTTCATTCGATATGAACTCTGAGACACCCCAGTCGAGCCTGCTCCGCGGGCGGTGGTGGCACGGGGCAGGATGCTGCAGCCGCATGTGCTGATGACGGAGCCCATTGCGTCGCGATCACACTTCAGCATCCTGATGGTGAATGAGTATGGTCAGTGACCACTAGGACGTGTTCTTTTTTTTGAACCGGGAGAAGCAGCCAGAGAATTGGATGGAACGCATGGAACGTTTTGCTGCACAGTGCCCTGTGCAGTGCTTGGTGCTGGGCGCCGCTTCCCAATCGTTGACCTGTTTGGAATTCTGCAACTCTCGTTGCCGAGGCATTATGTACGACGACGAGAACGACAAGTTTCAGGTGCCCGCCACAAAGCACGTGTGGCAGCAACTTGTTTTGGTGTGTTTTCGGAGTCTTCTCCACCTTCAACGCAGTGGTCCGGACCCGAACCAACTCCCCAATGGGTTGGTTCCCCGGATTCTGAGGGTGGGTGGGCTAAAAATCCGAGGACAGGCGAGGGTGCGAGGCGAGCGTTCGACTGGAGGCGAGCGTTCGGTTGGCGGGTATATTGACTTACATGGGGATAATCTTTGTATAACTGGGCCTGTCCCAGTAAACAGTCCGGAAGACTTATCACTTTATTGAACAAGGCCTGCAACTGAACTGAACCATCATCATCCACTGTTACTGGTATACGTAATAGGGTATAGACCGCAGGTAACTGTTCGGATCAAGGGGCTTACCATGGTTTACCCATGCCGCAGAAGCCACTCTCCACCCAGGCAGCGCAGACTGATCAACATCATTCAACATCTACAAAATCCAAACCAGATGCACCACGGAATTCGGGTGGCTTGAACACGGGCGGTCTTGGTTTCGTCATCACCCGACCCGACCGTGCGGCGCGGCTGCCGATGCCTGAACCGGTGCCGATGGGAGGTGATGGACACCGGCTCAAAGTGGGGGACCTTCAAGACACTTGGCGTCAATGGCCAAAACCAACAAATCCGTGCTGTAGTTCTGGCGCCACTCGTAGTCCTGGAGGTGCAGAAATGTGCACTACAGATGGAAGAACCGAAATGCTTGGTTTTATGTGGATCAGGTACCACACATGTGGCTTTTGGTCCACAGGGAGTCACGGTGAATCCATGTCAATCCCCCTTCTGGGGAATGTTTTTTTTCATGTTTTCTACCAGCACCTTCATTCTGGGGTCACCTGGCTGGAAGCCCCTACACTACCTAGGGATCTCCATTGGACACCCGTTGGAGGGTCCTGGTAGGCAGCAACATGGTTTCCGTGGATGGCGAGTTTCTCTCTTTTCCAACAGGCCTAGGCCTGGAGTTCACATTCTTTGGAGGCTCATTGCATCGCATCACGAAAAACAATACTAGACACGACTAATGGGACTGCCTACGCTGTGCCGCCCCATTGACATCCATTGACCCCCAGTCAACTACCCCAACTGATCGGCATATATATGGCAGTCCTAGGCAGGTCGTGTCTGGAAGAAATCGAGACGCTGGCGTCGCGAGACTGGGCCCTCGATGAATTCATGCCGTTAAAGGCCTCCGTTTTCGTACCTTCGTTGAAGTTGAAGGTGGGACTGGGGGCCCGGGTGCCATTCTCGGGTCCAGTCATACCGAACAACCTGAGGAGGTACGATTGGAGGTGTAGTTCACAGGGAACCATCGATTTTGCAAGCTATAGTCCATTGACCTAGGCGTTAAATATACACTGGATGAAGACCCGGGCAATGAACAGAAATCGTTCACTTGGACGCTGATCTACGATTATTGGGGTGTTGTCCACATCCATCTCCTTCTCAATCCATGGAGCCTGGAATCACCCTTTCCCCACCGAAGCCCGTGCTGAACCCCACCTGTGGACCTCCTCCCTGGCACCCTGCTCTGCGCACTCTCCGAGGAAAGTGACGGCCAAGGGGCAGCCAGTGAACTGTGGAGTCCGGGGTGCTCAGCCTTTGCCCTACACCTCCAAGTACCTTCTGAGAAGCTGTTTGGGGATGTTTGGGGTGGGTGCCAGGAGGGTCCTTCTGAGGAGGTACGACTGGAGGTGTAGAACTGTGGAGTCCAGTGAACCGAACCAAAGTGACATGGTTTAACGGTTTCGGAACCCCGAACCGTGTTGGACCTACGCGATGGCCGGCCGTTTCACCCGAACCGATGGCCTCTTGCTTGGACAGCGATGGGTGCGATGGCCTCCAACCTGGGAGCGATGGTTTTCTGGTTCGGAACCCTTGGTCCTGACCATCTCCCTCTTTTATATAGATTGTTTTTTTCCAACCAGCTTCAATGATGGTTGGAGGGAGGGTAGGACCTCAAACATGCGGCTGGTCGAAGTCCATGAGCCTTGAGGGTAGTACCTTCCTCTTTCCCAATCACTGAGCATCCACCGAACCTAGCCCAAATGCTTGGGTTGAGCCTCAAGTTTGGCTGGGAAACGATCTGGTTTTTGAGGGCACGTATCAAGTGAGAACTTGGTACAAGCACCCTGCTTGATTGCCATGCTTTTGAGGTGTTGGTCATACTGATGAACTACTGTACAGAAAATTCTTTTTTTATTCACACCACAGACATCCTGTGATGTTCTGTGTATCCTTCTTATTCTGATTATAATCAGAAAAACGCGCCTCGTTCCAATCCAAAATCAGAAAGACCTTTCCATGCCCATCAGAACATCCATGTCCTCTTCTCTCCTCTCCTACGCTGTCCTGCTTTGCAAGCTCAGCCGGCAGCGACAGACCGTCACCACAGAGCCGCTCCCCGACCGACCTTCCCAGGACTGGATCCGCATCGGCAACGCCGAGTTGGTGGTCCGTTTCTGCGGTGGCGGCTGCAACTGCCACAGGCGGAGCCTTCGGACTGTCGGACCGACGGAATCGGACCGGCAGCGAGGTGGGGAAGGGGGGCGGAAGCGCGAAGCCGTGAGCTTTGCTCCATGACAGATATGTCATGGGCGGATACGCTGTTGAAGGTAAGTGTCACCAGGGGAGAGACTGAGACCTTTGTCACGTGTCGTCGGTTTCATCGAAACAGCATCAGGTTGTTTCATCTTCTCAACCCTCCCCAAACACCAGTTTGGAGCGAACACCCGAACCGTTCTCGTCGTCGATCATCGGTGAAGGCTTGGCTCGGCGATCCGAGCCACAACGCGGCCGAAGCAACCCCATGCGTCGTAGACGGCGGGCGTAGACTGACCCCGCGCCACAGGCGCCACGCGCATCATCGGCTTCATGCGCTGGGCGTGGCACACACCATTTGTGGCTCAGGCCGAGCGACTCTCAGCTGCGAGCTGCGACGTGTTCGACGGCGGCTGTTGAGTTTGACGAGAGAGGGGTGGTGGGAGCGGTGGGTTTTAGGGGGGGTCCGGCGGGTGGTTGGAGCTGTGGAGAAGACTGAATGGGGGATTGGCCGGTAAGGTTTGGCGATTTTAGGCCCTAGAATCCTTGAGGAAAAGGGCCAAGCACAGCCCATCCCTCAGAGAAGCTCAAGAAATAGGCTGGATTTTTCACGGCACATGATGGCACAGTGTACACTGTGTAACAAGGAAGACCCCAAGCACAAGAAGGAGAGTGCATTCGGAAGACATGGGATCTATTTTACTGACATGCAGCCAAATGGCCACAGTTTTGGCTGACACCTGGAAGAGCAATAGGACTCCCTCAAAAGCGTTTGTGGTTCATGCTCTCTTTATTGGTGAGTGGTGTTGGCAGACGCTCACATAAGGTGATTAATCCGCCACTGCATGCAAGGGTTGCGATCCTGATTCTGAAGCCTCACATTTATACTATATCAACGGGCCTTGTGAGAGGTTGGCAACCCCAGGCAATAGATTTCTGATGTACTGTAGCAAACTCATTACCATACCGTCTTCAACGACCCTTCTTGCGTACAAAGAATTTGGCCATGAGATCCGTCATTGAAGGGATCTTCGCTCGCCAACTGGTTCGCTGATTGAAGGGAAACCGCTCACCGCTCAGTTACCCTAGAAGTCGAAAGACTATATTTTGCCCCACTGAAGTAAAGCATATTCCTTTTCGGGTCGCCTAAAGACCATTCTTTTGATAGTCTTTGACTCCCAGGGAGTCAGATTTCCACCAAATGATCCATGATCGGACACCGAATGATGCCGAGAACCGGACGTTGGAGGCAGCCGGTGTACCATTTGGGTCGCCAGGCTTTCGGCACGGGCGATTAGACTTCGAGGCGCAAGGGGTGAGGTCCTTTGGGAGATCAGTTCTGGTAGTGGCCAGGGTCAACAAAGTTACGACCATATTGAAGGATCACGATGAACCATCTGAGATCGACCATCTGCACCACCTTGAGAACGTCTCAAAACCTGACAGAACCACGAGGGCTCAGCGGGGTTTCATTGAACCAACGGCAGCAGAGATCAGTAGAGGGCGCGTAGCCACCACATAGAACACTATTCTCCTGTTGTCGACCTCCATGGAGAGACCTCAAACCGCCTGGCAGAGACCTCGGGTCTTCTCCCACCACACTCCGACTCCAATTTAAACTCGCAAAGGATCATCCCTTAGGCCCTCAGACTCAGGAGGAGCTCTATTGAACTCTATTGGTCCCCTTGGCAAAACAGAGAGGATCGATCCAAAAATCAGACGATCCGTCTGAAAATCATCACATCACGACATCTTCTAAAACTGCCCATGGGAAACAAGGACGCTGCTAGGGGGAGGCGGAGGCCATCGCTATTAGGTTGGAGTTGGAGGCCATTACCACTATAGTAACAAGAAGCTACTAGGGTGAAGGCCATCGCTACTAGGGTGGAGGCCACCGCTATTAGGTTGGAGGCCATAGTAACAAGAAGCTATTTCGATTTTTTCCTTTTTACTAGTAGCTTCTTGTTCCTAGCGATGGCCTCCAACCTACGACCGCGATGGCCAAAAACCGTGCGTAGCAAGAATGCTAGGAGCAATGCCCTCGTTACTATAGTAGCCATGGTTTCTATCAAAGTTCGGAACCGACCGATCGATTCTCTTCGCCCGGGGTGCTTTCTCGCCCGATCTGGCGGCATCTAGGTGCCGAAAAGGTCCTTGCGGATGATCGCCCAGGTGCGGTCGGCGCAGTCGGCGCGAACCCGACGGGCGCGACTTCGCCTGGGGGGACTGGGGGGGTGCGGTGATGACCGGCTGGACGACGATCCTGGGGTGCCTAACAGGTGTGTGTTTTAGTGGAACTGTTGAATTCGGGGTCTAGTGGTTTTGGTTAGGTTCATAAAACATCAAAGTGGGAACAGAAAACCCGCAGCCAGTTAATTTGTTCATATGTTTGTTTTATATAGTTCCATTCCCTTTCTTCCCCCTACTCAAAACTGAACAAGTGGAAGGAACGGCTTGTGCTTTTTTGTCCTATGGAAAGGTCGGTTTTGAAGGAAAACAGACCATATCGGGGTCAAAGACAGAATCGTAGTCCACCCTAGAAGTCCCGAATTCGACATGCATGTAGACATAGCACCACCGAAGTACAGGAAGTTCCAAAAGTGTGGTTCAGACCATTTCTGAAAATCGTCGCCTTGCACGCCCGACGGGACCTGTGCGACGCGTCCTTTGCGAGACTCGTCCGTTTCGCGCGGCCGCTTTGACCGGAGGAGCACGATAGCGAAGAGGATGAGGGCATGACTGAGAAGGCGTTTGCTGGAGAGGTGATTGACATGGATTACAGGACACATGCACGGGAACATTCCAAGGGGATTTGATACAGCAAAATTGGAGGAAGTTATGAGGAAATGAGTTCTCCTGCAGGAGAAAGAGAGGGGTTTGACCTTTGGGTGCCTTCATGTCTTCTTGATTCTTGGACGGTTTTGCAAAAACCCACCGGAAGAGAGAGTTCACTCGAAGTCTGAAGACATTTCCCAGGAAGTCCAGGGCGGCTATCTAAAAAAGGCCCGAAAAGGACAGTCCTTTACTTGGGTGGCACCGAAACTTTGTCGAACTAGACTTCTAGGGTCTTGTAAAGTTGAAGTTTTGATGCGCCCTGGGGCCCCTTTTCAATCCTTTTCAGTTTGAGGTCTTTCAACTTCTTTATCATGTGCATAGCCAGTTCCGGTATGATCTCTCGGTGCCAGGGCTTTGCTTTGGACCAACTTGTTCAACCCGATCTCGTTCCCCGAAGAGGTCCACCAGGACCCGCCGAATGCGGTCAAGAGCTCCTCCGATCCGCCTTTCCGCCTCCAGGTCATGGGAATCCTCACGAGCCGAACGCGCTTAAACAGCTCGTTGAAGAATTGGCCGCCTGCCTCGGTGTCTTCAGACGACGGAAACGGGTTCCGTTCGTTCGGGAAGAGGTGCTTCATCTCCGCAAAGGCGTGTGGGCGGATCTCGCCAGGGTTGGCGCCGTATTCTCCTGGCGCGGCCCGTTCTACTTTCGGATGGTGCCATGTATCCTGCTAAGAAAAGCGGTGGGATTTAGTGTCCGGGTTCAAAAGGGGACCAACATCATGAATCTCCGACCTTGTCCAATACAGTCAATGGAAGGACCTCCAAAGTCCGCTAGACTTTCGCACGAGCGGCGGAGATGTTATCTCTTTCATCGCTTACCCAGACATTCCATATGGGACTGGAAGATTCCCCATTCATCAAGGACGCTACGAGGGGGTCCTGGGGGCTCCTGGCCTTACGGCAACTGTCCAAATCCCAGACAGGCCGTGGGGCTAGACATGGCGGCAGACATGTCTGCACTGGCTCTCCTTCCCTAGCTGGTGCAGAAGAGCACCCTTTTAATTGGCAACCGAAAGTGACCTGCCAAACAAGGGCCGTGCCTTCCAACCACGACCGACGAACCCTCTTGTTTGACATGAGGATTCCCTTCGTTAGACAGGCTCAAGCACTTAACTTAAATGGTCTGAGATGGAAGGCTATACCAGGACTGACCTTCAAAGTGACTCCCTTATTCTCAAGACGGTCACTTTGAAGGTCCTGGAAAAAATAGGAGAGAAAGGCCTTTACTAGCTGAACCGTCATCATCTAATAATCCACTGCTACTGAGATATACCCAAGCTAAATATAGCTAAACAGGTTTGTTCCTTCAAAGATACTCTAAAGCCAACTACACATATGCTCAATCATGCAAAATCATACAGTATACATACCTTGGGTCTGTCCTATTATATACCTGTAACAGTCAGTAAACAAGAACATCACTATGTTTGGGCAAGGCCTCTACTAACCATCATCATCCACTCTTACAGGTAATAGGTTAGACCCAATCTATACCAATACCTGGATCTTCCAACGACATGCCACATGTATGCTTTTTCATCCATAAAAACTGGCCAAGCTCGGCATAAATTTGGCATGTCGTTGGAAGATCCAGGTATGAATTCATATATGGGTATTAGGTTAGACCCAATACATACCCATATATAGTGATAGGTTATTGCTTTGTGTGACCCGCGTTGCTATCGCCGAGGTCCAGCTCCTTCGAGCGGCCCGGGCTGCCCGGGACGGCTTGCTATCGCCGGTTCGCGGACCGGTCGCGGCGGTCACGGTCGATTGAGTTAAAGGGAGATCAACCAAAAGAACTGATTTTTAGATCGTGACCAAACGTGTCACGATCTACACGCGGAAGACGAAAGACCTGGTGGAACATGGTGGAACGAGGACACCGCGGACCGTGCCAGTCGAAACCGCGCTCCGAGGCATTGTCGTGACGTGAACCCTGCAGGCGAGGGCAGCCTGAGGCGGGGCTGGGCGAGTTCGGAGCATGTGAACAGGGCGTATTACCTGGACAACCAACCTGCTTCCAAGCGGAAGGTGTGTGCAGTCAAGTGGCAGTCATGTGCAGTCCAATGAAGATCGATCCGGTTTGGTCAGTTTGGGTGATTCTAACTATAAAACTATCTCCCATTCTTTGTTTGATCCGATCCCACGGACCCAACGGATCCAACGGCGATGAACACGATTGCATGGGACGTGGTCATCGTCGGCCCTTCCGACCTGCCAGGCCTGGCCAAACATGTAGCCAGGTGCGACGCGTGGCGCGCGTGGCGCCGTGCGTCGCACGCGCCACGCCTGCTCTCGGCTTTGGCAGGTCGACGGGGGTTCCCGCCGCAGGGGTTCTCGATGGAAGGCAGTGCTCCACGTTCAGCCCGGTGGGACGTCGTTCTCCGGTGGTAGCAACTGACCAACTTGGTGACCTGTGTGATGCAGCCTCCCAAAAGTCCGGTGCCATGGTGGTTGTTGGGGATTCTTCCTGTTAGCAATGGGATGCTAAGATGTCTAAGGACCTCTTAAGGACCTCTTAAGGACCATCCACCCAGCCCATTTGAATGGTTTCAATCTCTCGTGGTTAACCCGATGGACCGGACGGCCTGTTCGACCAAGGGCATGTGAGCCTTTTTGGAGCAAGGGTATCAATGCTTCACTGCTGTTTCAGTGCTGTTTCAGTGCAGAATTCCTTACTACAAGTGGATGTAACAGTAGCCACCTTGATGTTGATGTTTGGATGGTATGCTGCAACAAATGATAGGAAAGCTGATAGGAAGGTTTCTTGCAGCCAAACCAAACCAGCCTAAACCAAACCTAACCTAACCTAACAGCCATCCTTTCATCGACCCAGTCACACCCCACATACACCAGTCACACACCGCATCCACCGCATCCTTCCCTTCTTCACCGCCAGGCTCGGCCCTCGGGGATCTCCTTGGAGGCCACGCCTCTGGAGATCGTGTCTCGGCGAGGCCGCAAGTGGAAGGCCCGGGTGGAGATCCAGGACCCGACTCTACAGTTCACCAATGGTTCGACCTGTTAGGGTCCAACAACCCTCAACTAACAGCTTGTTGGAGGGTGCTGGAAGATGGTCGTTCAGACTACATTCTCGATGTGGTCGCTCAGATTTCTTGGATCAAAGAGCCTGGGAGTCTGGAGATATGATCGGCACACATCTCTCCCCGTGGGCCGCGCGCAGGGTTGGGATGATCTGTTGGTGAAAAAAGAGGAGTTCTGAGGTGCAATTGGTCTAGGCTACTTGTCTGTTGTGCTCATGATCAGGCCACTGGTGGCCGGTGTTCCCTATATACCAACGACATGGTCTACATGACAATACCAGGGCCACACCAGAGAGGCTATAACATATTATAGAACTACAACACATATACAGTGGTTTCAGAGTAGATGGCACAGACCCCAACATGTCCCTGCAATTCAATGGGGGTCGATGGTTGCACCACCAGCCCCTCTTGGGCTGTGCCATCGAACCTCATAACCTGCTACTGCACGGAATGGACCTTAAGTACTGCTGCACTGAGCAGACCCCTCACTAGTTCGAACTCTACACCGGAGCGGAGCCGCTCCGCTGCGGCGGGGCTGCGGCGGGGGTGAAACAGTTGGGAGCAGAAAGTAGAACCAGCCGACTCCCTGGAGTATCTCCGCAATCTCCGCATCTAAAAGGTACCTAAAGATATCTAAAGATATAGTAAAGGTTTCCTACCTGGACCATCCGATCATCGGGGTGCGTTGGGGTGCGTTGGGCCGGTAGTGTGGGGTAGTCCAGCCAGGAGGGCCCCGATGTTTTCTCGGATGGTCCTGGTATGTTTTTTTTTTTTTCTTTTTTTCCGAGGTGAATGCATGTCCTCTAATTCTGAACCATGGACCCTCCGGGCGGGTCAGGCACCAGGCCCGGAGCCCTGCAGGGGTCTGGTCGGTTGACTCTAGTGACTCTAGTGGTCTATTTCTTAGAAGGTCTACAGACAGGGTCTATTCTGTTCAAGTACAGACAGGACCCCAAAGTCAAGGTCAATTCAATGTATATGTCGGAACCAAAGGGCCGGACCCGGCGTTCCTGTCGGACCAACGCCAGGGTCGCGTCGCGCCCGGGGTCGCCACGGACACCGCGGGAGACCCGAGGATTTCATCTCCGGTCCCCGCATCGGCGAGCGGCTGCTGCTGAACGATCGGCCCGGGGGCCCGAAGGGAACGGGACCAGTCGCTTGGCCGGTCGAGGGACCGGTCGAGGGAGCGGAATGAGTGAAAGGAGTGCAAGGAATGAGCATAGGCTACATAGGTCTTAGGTGGAGCTTCTAGTTGAGCTGGTGAGGATTTTATGCATTTTGTTGGGGTTCTATCCCTCTTCGTTTTGTGGCAGTTCAAACAGATGTTTTAAGGGACAAGATGGCAGAGATGCTTGATTGGACACATGTCCCATCCATATAGCATAACTCCTACCCCAAAATGTGCAGCAAGGTGTTCTCTAGACCTTTAGCACTGGATCTCCAGACCACCACGCCCTCAAGTCTAAATGCATGTCCTCAAAATGGGGCTCAGTCTCTTTACTAGCATCCTCCCGGCGGATGCATCTTCCCTAGGCTTCCAACAACCATTGATTTAACGGTTTTTACCGAACAACCATTGTTTTACTATGTTTTACTAAGGAATTTACACTATAACACCAGGTCAACCTTTCTTTTAAAGGTCTTGGAAGGCTAGGGTCCTGTCAATGCAACTTTACCCAGTGTCGAGAACGTTGCTTCCAGGCAAAACACCCTTCCGTGCGAAACTGGCGCCCAACTGGGCCTCTGACCGATGGGGTGTTTCCTCCGCGGTGGACCACTGCGTGATTGTTCGTGAATTGTCCTGCGCGTGACTGCCAAGTGCGTCAGAGAGATAATGGCTGGCGGTCTTGGTTTAGTTAAAGCCAGGGACTATTGGGTAGTTGAAGGCAATCACAGCAGGTACAAATCAGGACGTCTCCCAATGCTTCGCAAGAGAATGTGGATGTCTTCGTTGTCACAATGCATGGTGTAGAAGCACCCTCTCCAACGAACGTGGACAGTTCGCTACTCAAAATCTATATGGGAAATTTGATATTGAACATGTATGTTTTGAATGTTTTTTGTTTTTAAAATCATGTGCACCAATTAACACATTTCAAGGCAGTTGGGTCCAAAATTGACATTCAAGGTCCAGATTGCATATGCGACAAGTTACAGACAACCATTAGATCACAATATAAAAGATTTGTCGGCTAACTGGTGTTCCCACCGACACCAATCCTACTCTGACACCACTTGCCATAGCTGCCAAAGCCCTCGGACACACAACGCACAACTCGCACAAGTCACAGGAAAGGACGTTCGAGTCGGTCCGGCCAAGGCACTGCACCATCGGCCGCGGTGACAATTGCATGGTGCAACTGAGCGATGCTTGGCGAAGACGGTCCCAGGCACCGCACGCACGATCCACTATCCACGCGCTGCCGTGGTTTCCCCCGATCAAAGGGGGGTGAACTTCGGAGGGAGGAGCGTGAACCAAAAAGAAGTGAGTGAGGTCATGATCCAAGACTTTCCATCTATATATAATTTTTAGGAGTAACTCCAGTTATGGATGCTCCAAGTCATGGCCAAGCAAACTATTTGGGCATGAATTTACTCGACATATGCCTGTGGGTCAAAGCCCGGAGCCCTAAACACCTAGGTTCACCTCCCCAGTAGTCTATTCTGTTCATTTTCTGTGGTCAACCAAGGTCCCGGTTTTGACTCATAGCCAAATGTTGCGCTGTAATACTGCTTTTCACATTGATTTTTTAGCTTTGTGCGGAAGAGGCCTGACTTTATCTCGGCGTAGGCCCATTGAGCCAGTTGAACCGACCGTTGTGCGTTCGAATCGACCGAGGATGCATCACTGGCGAATGTCTCTCGTGTGCATTGCATCTCGGCCAAGTTGTGAGCCAGGCAGGCTTCTGAGGGACCTAGATGGATCTAATAGGTGCTTATGGCCCAGGTCAGACCGGCTTTTTGCCAGTGTGCGACAAAGGCTCCACCAAGGATCCCAAATTGCAGGATAACTTCAGGATGTTTCAGGCATTCTAATTCCTGTTCCCGTTGTGGTGGTTTGTGTTTGTTCTGTTTCTGAACATATTCCACTCAGCTCAGGAATTCGAATAGACCGTTTTGGGAGCGCACGCTGACCGCAAACGCGCCGCGTAGCAAAGACGGAAAATGTTTCGCTACAAAGCACGTCATCAGTTCGAACGAGTTTGTTTCAAGTGTTCATCCCTTCCTGGACCCTCCATGTATGCCAGGCCCTAGGGATCCAAGTACCTTCTCAGAAGGTGTTTGGGGTGGCTGTGGAGGGTCCAAGTGCCTTCTGAGAAGGTACTTGGATCCCTAGGGCAGATATGCCAGATATTGGCCCCCCTGGCACCACGCCGGACTGGCAGTCCGGACTGGCAGTCCGACCCGATCCCTCAACACATCTCAACGGCCCAAGGCCCGTATCCATTCTTGAGGGTCCAAGCCGTAGTATACATGCATGTTTCAGGGTTGGGGGTCGCAGTTGAACGTTTTCAAAGAAAGAACGGAGGGGTTTACGAGCTCAGAGCTGTTTTGAAGGACTGACCTGAGGACTATCCTTCCTCCAAAACCCCGGACTACCCCTCAGACTGTCCCTGAGGACTACCCCGGACTGACCTGAGGACTATCCTTCCTCCATCCGTTCGTGCTGCCGTTCTCCCGAGGCTCCTTCCGTTGCTTCGGGAACCGCTGGTGGCTCTGCGACGAGGATGGTCCGACGGCTCTCCGACCGACCGACCGAACGGACAGATCGTTTGGGATCGTGATAGACTCCGACCCAGATCCAAACCTGTCTTTCACCTGAAGTCATCTGACCATCTCCAATGAGGTCGACTTGACTACTTCTAGGGCAATTAAATCTT